GGGCGGGAAAGGCCCCCCACCCGCCGGGCCGGGCTGAGGCAGGCGCCGTCGCCTCTTTCCCTTCCCGGCTCCTTCCAGCTCGCTCTCAAAATGGCGGCCGCGCCCGTTGATGTGGAGGGAGGGGGGAGGGAGCGGTGCCCTCTTTTCCTGACACCCCCCCGCCGCCGTCTAGCATCCTCATCATCATCCTCCTGGGAGGGGGAGCGACCCCCCCTCTCGCCACCGACCCCCTTCCTCTCTTCCTGGTCGGTCTGTTGACCCTCTCTAGTGTTCCTTCACCCGGCCATGCCCTGCACCATCATCATCATCATCACCCCCGCCATCATCATAATCATCAGTTACGGCCTGGGGTGGGGTTTGAGCCCACCCCCTTCTTCCTCTCCCGTTCTGGATCATGATCCGGCTTCTGGCTCACTTCTTGAGCTAATCAACACATGTATCATCCTCCCTAACCTGGAGGGTGGGCCACCCATTCCCCCCTCCTTCACATTCGTTTGGTATCTTTATCTGCTGCTTTTGGTATCTTTATCTGTTCTGTTTCTTGTTTCCCTCATCTTCCATCCCTGCATCCTTCTCTCCTCCTCCTCATCCTCGTTGTCATGGGGGAGGGGGCTTAGCCACCAATCCTTTCTCTCCCATCCTGTATCTTTCTATTATCTCTTATTTCTTCACTTCTTGCATCATCCTCGCAAGGGGGCTTTGGCTGACGCTCCCTTATCCCATTCTTCCACCTCTCCTGCTCTGGCTGCCTTTCTTCTCCATGTCATTGCTTTGCCTTCCCTCCACCTCACTTTATCATCATCGTCCCACATCCCATTGCTGGTGGGGGAGAGGATGTCAGCCACCCAGGCCCCAGATGCCAACACCAGCCTCCTTCTTTTCTTGGTCTCTCTATTTTTGTTCTCCTTTCCTCCCCCTCTGCAAGATCATCATCATCATGATGGCTGCATGATGGGGTTATTAGCCACCCTTCCCAGAACACACAAAACATGCTTATTCTCTCTCCCACCCTAGGGTTCAATCTGTCTTTCACCTCTTCTATAAGGATAGCTGGGGGTCGGGGGGGGGGAGGCTAACCTGTTCCCATACACCATCTTT